TATGCAGCAAAAATTATAAACTTACAGGAAGAAAATGATTTAATAACACTCTTAAAAATCTAAAGATATACTAATGCTAGCCATGGTTAAATTTATTATATTAAAGTCCACCAGCGGCCGAGTGGTAATACAGTCGCCGACCACTGGTAGGTTCGAATTCCGGCGAATGGGCTAGTTGCATGGGCGTTTTCGTGGTTTTCCCCACGTGTAACGTGGATAGAGTCAGTTTCCTTTGAAAATCCGTCCACGAAGGCATCCTTCCCTTAGGCAGACAGTCGTCGAGTGCTTTGGCGTAATGAAATAAAGCAAACTATCATCGTCTTAACACCGTCGCAGTTAGCTTAATTCGTAATCCTTGGATCTAATTTTTTATTCCATTGCATAAGAGCGAGTAATTTCAGAAGATTTCATAAAATGTGATAAAGATGTCGGCACCTTTATGCAAGTCGGCGACTATCAGCCGAGATAAAGACTTTCACATGGACGTCCCGGTAGCTTGTTGAAGGCTGCTTTCTTTATGATATAAACTGGATTTCATTCAGGGAGCCCGGCATCTTTGTGCTGTTATGCCAGGCACCATTCTGTCTTAGCTAACAATGTTCATCTTGCAATCATGTGTCGGCACCTTTATGCAAGTTAGTCGCACCAGTTAAAATAATCCCAGCCGTCCTATTCATCAAAATGTGCAATTTTCGAACCTCACATTGAAGAAAATTAATTTACAGTTAGCAGAATGTAAAGCTAAGGAAAGATTATTCTGTGGGCCTTGGTATTCACTGATACATCAAGTGTGAAGACTAAAGATACATTTAGGCATCCGATTGTACTGTTAATATCTGTTTCAGGACACAGCAGATAGCAGATAGTAAATGGGTCTGCTGCTAGGATGGCTACACACTGAAAGGCTATATGCTTATCAATGGTCATCCCTGGTAGTGTTAAATAAATAAATAAATAAATAAAAGACTTCAGTTTTGAATGGCAGTGTCCCCGGGAATGAAACCGAGTGTCTCCTACCCCCTCTTCCCTTACCCTCAAGCAGCTCCCAAGAGAACTTTCGGTTCGCCGCATATTTTGAATGCCCCATGCCGAACATATTTAATTTTTTACAAATATTTTTATTTATATTTACAAATATTGAAACCTTCTTCGGGTTTCGAACTCGGGCCCTTCGTTACGGCAGTCAGACTCAATAACCACTCATTATCCCGGTTGGACGGCAGTCTAAAATTTTCAGATTACAGCTTCCTTCCTTTTCCATAGCTTCTTCATTTTCGACTCATTTGATAGGAATTATAACATATTGATTTCGTATTTAGTTAGCTATTTTTAGTAGAATTGTAATTAAAATTGTTTTATTTCCCGTGCAATGAAGCACGTGACGAATTTTAAGAAAAAGCTACGCCGGAAAAGTAAAATTACAAGACCACGTGCGTTTAACATTTAATAAAATTTTATCTCCGTTATTGAAATTTAATTTGAATAAATGTAATTGATTACAATGTTAACTGTAACCGTAATTCTGCTCTTTTTGCTTTTCAGAAATTGTTAGAACTCTCTCGTGCGGCCGATTTTAAAAGCTGTAAATGCCAGAGAGAGAACATCTCAGCTCAGTTGTTTACTAAGCTGTTGTTGTTTAAGTGAGCTGTTGTTTACTTTCTGCCGTTCGGATTAGCTTTCTCTGCGCTTTGGATTGCGTTCTATTTAACGTTTTAGTGATTTAAAATATAGCTACTGATTTTATTTCGTGATATTGTGATATTGTACGAATATCTTTGAAAAAAAGAAATCCACTGTTTTGTTATATTTCCTGTGATAAGAATAAATTTGATTAACTTTTTGTCGAACTTGTGCATTCAGTCTATTACAAACCCGTAAGCACGCAACAATATTTTTACAAACATTCAAAATTCAACTTAAGAATATATTTCTTACGGTTTCAACTCAATCATAAATATTTCATCAAACAAGTTTAAAAAATCATTCATGAATTAAATTCGAAAGGCTACCGATAATCAAAATCATTGGCATGATGCCTAGTATTTTGTTCAGTTAGTACAGAAATAATGATGGACAAAATTGTTTGTAGAAAGAATGCAGCTGTATTTATGAATTCTGAGAGCAGATAACCGTTTTTGTGTTCCATTCAAAATGTCTCGTTCTCAATACAGCTGGGGAAAAGGAAGAGGAATTACAACTAAATGTAAACCAGGAGTCACAAAAGATTGCGCTCAACATTTTTCGACTATCACCGAAAAATGGCGGAACGCATTATTCCGTTATTTATTATCGTGTTTCTGTTGAATTCTTCGGTAACTGTCGTGATCGTAACCCATCCGTAAAGATAAAAGAAGAATAGATAATAATAAAAAATTTAAAAAAAAAAAAACTGTACCTGTCATTTGATTTTGTGATCGGGAATTAAATTGATCTGGAAAAAAGAAGCGAAGGTATATAAAAGATAAGCATCCAAGCCTTTTGTTATCTAATTTTCGCTGCTCTTTCTGTTTAAGTTTGTTTGTTTATTGACAGTTATCTTCCGTCACGGTTGCCACCAAATATATCAGCTGCGTCTCTATTGTTTTATAATGCTGCTTACTGAATGTGAACCAGAAAAACAAGTTATATATGACTACACGATAATAAAAATAGTATCGAATTAAGCGAAAGCTGTGTTAAATAATTGGAACCGTAGTTTAGTATATCATTTAAGGGAATTTTTTAGACATTAAAAAAGACTAGCCGGTTGCAGCCAAAGCAAAATTTATATGTACACCTGAAAAGAAAATGCAGAACACTTTTTTCGATACGAATGAAATCAGTTCATTCTTTCCAAGAAATAATCAATTCGTAAATATGTTTTTTGTTTCCAAACCAAGAAACAAAAACTTTTGACATTTTAGGTTAATATGGTATGATATCATGATTTAAATTTAATGTGATATAACAACTTTTTCTAAATATCAATTAAAGAATTAACATGACAGTAACATATCGTGTCAATTATCCTAACCTTTAACAAAAAATAGCAGCTATTTATTTAAAATGCTGACATGAACAAGAAATTGTTGACGTGCAATGACGTCGTATGCAATCGCCTACTTTCTTCAAAAGTCAGAATAGGATTTTATATTATAATAATATGTTTAATGTTTGGCAATGGTATTTTTATTTCATATTTTGTGAAACTTACAAATTTTTTATAACCAAACTCTAAGATTTGAAAGCAAGCAGTGGCAACACTTTTCGAAATAAAGCAGATTTTTATCTTTTTCGTCGACTGATGGCGACCACCTGACTTTCACTTTCGTCTTTTTGTTTTACTGATGTTCTTTACGTGATACAGAGTAAAAGGAGGCGCTGCTTTCTTAAACTCAAATTCACTATATGTTCTTAGAAGTAGATTTTTATCTCCAGCTCGCAAGACTGTTGCCACTCAGAAAAATGAGCGCGAAAATTAGCATTTTCAGAGTCTTCAATTAATATCTCGGCTGATTAGTCTGATGAAGATAAGAATGGCTGAAATAGCTTTCTACGAATTTTTGGCATCCTCTCGAAACTCAACTCCCCGCCATTCGAAAGCAGACAGACAGACGGGCACAGATTTTAATATTTGTAGTATAGATAACCGAACTACAGATAACGCAGAATAATATATTTAATTACATTAATAATTAAAGATTAATAATAATTTCGGTTGAATGGCACATTTCTTTTATATTTCACACACAGAGAGAAACAAATGAATAAAATATAAAATTATTAATAAAAAAAAAAGAAGACAAGAAAATTTTTTTTAAATCTGAAAGCATTCAGATTTTATGTTACGCCCAAAGTCGCGTTCTTTTTCTCTTTCATTTACACACATATGCACGTTCCGACAGCATTTTAGGGTAGCCCCCTTTGGGCTAAAAATATTTAAAAACAGCATGTCTTTAGAATTTCCGACAGACACTCTCGCGCGTTGGAGATAAAATTGTTTTATTCCTACTGGTCTGGTCTGCGACTAGTCGCTTTGAAATCGTTGATTTTTTTTAATAAAAAATTCGTTAAAGTTATACAAAATATGAAGTAGATAATAAAACAATTTCGGCCTTTCAGGTGTCTATATTCAGGTGGAGGTCTACGGTATTCAAAATTTGATGGCTCTAGGTATCGCTGGTTTTTCACGAAGCGAAAAACATACATACATTCATACAGATTCTGAATTATGTAATTTCTTTAAATAGAATACAGAGCAATAATTTTGGTGGCAACAATTTGAAAAGTTATTCAACGCTTTTAGTGATTTTACCCAAAACGCCGTTCTGAGACTAATAGCCCTCCTGGGCCAACTCTCTTTGGGCTAATAAAAATTCTGATTACAAATCCATATCTTAAAAAATAAATTATTTTTTAAAATAAAATATATAAAAAAATTTAAAACATAAAATGCCATGCAATCATTTTTTTTCTTCTTTTAAAATAAATAATAAACTATTGCAGGTTATATAACAAATTCATTATTATTGTTTGACATTAAAATATATTCAAAAGGAATTTTTCAAAACAAAAATTCCAATTTTAAAAGCTGTCTTCGTTTCTGTACTGCTTTACCTAAATATACAAGCAGGCTTACAATGTATATGTTGCCACGAAACTTCATCACACTGTTATATTATTTTTAATGAAGAAATTACTGAGCGTGGGAAGTAAAATCCAACATCTAGAATGTCATTTAGAAATTACGAATTATTTTAAGATTATTTAAGAAGCGTTCAGAAGGATATATTTACGGTAGATAACAAATAATAATGTATTACTTTTCCATGAAATTAATTATTTTTAAAATGAGGCTTACTCAAGATTCCCATCCTTCTTTTTTTTTTTTTTTTTTTTTTTTTTTTTTCAGTTAAGTATTTTATTGTGAAATTACGTTTAACCTTGATTGCAAATTTTTAATTCAGGTTTCAGTCTGGAGCAAATAAAAAAATATCACTAATTATTTTTATTTTTTATAGCCTCCCATGGAATTTTGGACGTTCACTCAGTGAACGAAAACCAGCAAAGAAGGATTCATTCTTTTTGTGAAGGATCTTTACCGATGCGTGGGCGTGGAAATCAATCAACTCTGAGGAATTTGAAATCCAAATCCGAGATATATTTCGACTCATTCGCAAAAGATGATAAAAAACACTCCTCAACAAAATTTAAACTAGACACCGAATCATGGCGGCTATTAGGCTACAACCTTCCCAGAGAAACAGGAAACGAAAATGATACCAAACTGCAGTACACCAGCACAACTCTCAAACAAAAAAGAAGGCAGTTGAGAGAATCATTGCTGATGTCTGAGAAAATGTTTAGTTTATTTGACGCTGCCAAAGAAGCGTCAGAAATTAAAGAGTATGTGAATCCTGATTTAGAAAAAACGAAACGAAGCGGTTTGGGGACTTCAAAGGAGAAAAAACGAGGTGTCCTAGCAACTTCAGAATCTAAAACTTTTGATTTCGACTCTCAGTCGGTTGCAGTGAAGGGTAGAACAAAATCGAAGCGTAAGTCATGCACGAGTAGCATGAGACGAAGACAATCATGGCGTAGAAAAACAGATTATATTAATTCTTCACTCGGGGGCTATTTCTTGCAGCGGAATGATCCCCATTCTCGCCTATCTGTGCGAGGAACTCGAATTTTTGGAAGAAAAAAGAATTATAGAGCATATCCCAGCCTAGGGGAAGATGTGCGTGAACCCGAAAGAACGTTATCTTTTAGAAGTTCGTCTTTACCATCGAATTTGTCGTTCACAGAATGCATGGATTATGAATTCTGGCATTCGCGTTTCGTTCAGAACAGAGTGAAGAGGTTGGAGGAAGACTTAGCGGCTAAATGCGAAGAATACACACCATGGAATTATGATTTCGATGTGCAAAGCTTATGTAGTTTGGAACTAGACAGAATAATACCAGACGGCGATGACTACAGGATAGCTTACTTAAGTAGCGTATGTACATCACAGGAATCCAGCCTAGACTATATGGAGGATAATATTAGCAACTTTGGAATGGGTACATTGGACATCAAGCGCAAAAAAAAACGCCCCCTTGTGAAAAGTGATGATAATTTGAGTACCTACGGCATGACTACGCTTGACATCAAGCTCAGTAAGAAACAAACCTTAGATGGCAGTGAGGATTGGGATTTATCTTTCAGTTCTTTTGAGGATAAAAGTGCTTCATCCGATGAAGACGAGTTTGAGTTCTTTACTAAATATACAACGAATTCGAATAACGACTCTCAGACGAAATGTTATGCAACGACATTTTCTCCGAACGATCATTCCACTGAAAATCCCCAAACGAATTATAAAACAGACGTTAATGAATCAAGAGAGAATGCAGGATGGTTTTCGTATTCTTTGGGAACAGTTTCCCCTAATAACAGTTCTGTAGACTTTGAAAAAAATTACGCTTCTAGCTGCGATTTTCAGTATCAAGGTTTTGAGACAGGGAAAGAATATTCTGCAGATTTCGACTTCTTGAATCCCTTCGTTCAGCATGGGGTGCAAAGTTATGGCAAAGATGGAGAAATCGAATGTGCAAAATCTATATTGTTTCCAAAACCGCCAAATAAATGTTTTACAAAATGCAAAAAGTATGATATTGTTAAGGCAACAACCGGGAATTATTTTGAAGAAATTTTTAATATTGGTTCATGTGAACCCACGACATTTAACAGCAATATAGATTATCTAACTGCAAATAGTCTGTACTTATCCAAGGATGTAGAAACTACAAGTGCACAAACACGGCCAATAGAATTCAAAATTTCATTCTACGAGCCGCTCAGTACGCCATTTTCTGTAATTTATGCTATTAATTCTGGGATAAATCAGCGAGATCTTCCAGTGTGCCATTTTGCAAACAAATCATCCGTCTCATTGTTGCAAAGTAGCCTCAAAGTTGAAACCAAAATCTCAGAAAACAATATGGGATATTTAATTGAGGATGAGCTGAAACAAGCGGGCGATTTCCTGCGAGAAATGATAATTCGCTTTTTTAACCAAAAGACTATTCCCAGATATGTTTTTGGAAGAATTCCGAGAAGAAACGCATGTGAAACAAACTGTTACAAAATTACAGGTTTGTTTGTTTCGAATCACTGTCACTTAAGATTCAAGCACGAAGAAGACCTCAATCTACGTTTCGAAACCGATTATAGTAAACGAATAATGTCAATCCAACACTTCTTACCGAGATTATTTGACATCAACAGAATAGTTATCTGGAATATTTTGAACTCAAAATGCTGTTCACTTCCGTTCCAAAATACCGAAACTAAGAAATATTGTAAATTTTTGCAAAGAATTCGAAACCAGACTTTTCATTTTATTACCGGTATACCTCAGTCTCCCATTCTAAATTTATATGATGGTCCAATAGAATGTATTTATAATTTTCAAGAACTTTTACCTCATGATTGTCACGCTAGAAGTAACAGTACAATGATCGCTGCTTTATATTCAAATTCATATTCAGGGTTTTCCGATATTCATTTTGGAGTATTTCTCAACCCAAAAATTTCTTCTCTAATAACCATGTCAGCTTCTGATAATTTCAGCATGAATCTTCATGGAAGAATGAATATAAATCTATTAGGTTTTAGCATTTCAAATCTGAAATGTATTATTTTAAATAACTTGCAAATTTTGAATCAAATTGACAAACCCATTAGCATTTCTGAAAAAGAGGAATTTGATCATTTTCCATGCATTATCGCTACTCCGAAAGAATTTCAAAATGGAGCTTCTGAAATTTATTTAGAAAGTTTACTAAGTGCCGAGCGTACTGCTGTATTTTCATCTAAAATTCGAACTCAGTGCAACCATTCCAGCTTGAACATCAACTCTTTTAGAATTTATAAGGAAAACTTTGGCAAAAAGAAAATAGAAGGTAGCAGTTTTAAAACCAGGAACAGGAAGAAAAAACTGGTTTCGCTAGAGAAACCAAACTTAACTGATTTCAACAACGCAAATAAAATACTTGTGTTAGAGAAAAACAAAATACGAAACCTGCCTCTTGTACATACGAGAAATATTAAAATTCCCTCGTATACCTCGTATAAAATAACAAGATCGAATACGTTGAATATATGTTCCAAGAATTTTAATCATTTCGACAGTATCGATAGCAATAATCTCCAGCCATCAGATATCCATAGGAAAAGACATATATACGAATTTAAAAATTTTCACTATGAAAATCAAGAGCCTGTAAAATTTTTCCATAAACTTCCTTCTTTCCAGCCTAATTTAAAAATAGATTTTATGCTATCAATGTATAGTACTTATTTGAACTTTAGCATCCATTCTAGCTGCTTATCGATAAAAATAATAAGTAACAATTTTTCTCGAGATGCCAAAAAACAATCAAGACGACTAGACACTGAACTGGAAAACCAAAACCGCGAGATAAGAAGTAACCTTCGTAGCGAAACCGAAATTGTCGTTCGAGTACAAGAAGCGGGCGAAACTCCGGAAAGTAGAATAGCCGCTGCACGTCAAAGTGGCGCTACGTCACAAACTGGTAGCGCCGCATTCGTAGAATGTCTCTTCCCACCCCAGTTCACGAGCATTTGCGAATCGAGAGAGGCACTCCTTTCTGCTGGCTCTTCTGAGCTAAGCCTAAGTGTGCCAGCTGTTCGGCGGGTGGCTAAGTACGAAAGTAGTCTTGTTCGCCTGCCAGACGATCAGTGGGTTTCTGTCGATGCGCCATGCCAAACAACGACAGATGGTGCGGATCAGCTACTTCAAACGGCTGAGAAGAAGCAAGATTATTGCTGTGAACATCAAAGAATATGTGCCTCTTTCGATGAAACCAACGGATCGTGGTGTCACACTCACGGTTACGGATATGCATTAATCTCGGATTACCCAGCAAAACAAAAGCTTGCGCACCTGGATTATGATAATGAGGATTACGTGTATTTTGGACATTTGCCAATAGCGGTACAAGAGCAGCTGACTCCCGCCTTCTCCACGGCGAACAGTTGCGATAATTACGTTAAATCGTGTGATAGAAAAAGTTCTGGATCGGATTTACAAGGAATCATGGCGGCATGTGATGATGATCCGCGATTAATAAATAAGGTTATTAGGACTCCTGGCCGCAATATATCCAAACTAAAACGGTTTTTCGACTCACGTGAATGTGTTGCCACTGATTCCAATGACATTTGCAATCGTTCAGCTACAAACAGTAAAGCAATTTCATCACATTGCCAGTCCAGAGTGGTATCTGTCTTTGATAAACATAGTATGGTTCCGAATTCGGATTCGCAGCTGTCATCTGAGAAACCCGAAACAAAAGGGGTTTCTGTTCCCTGTAGTTCATCTTCATTGAAAACGAATAGTTTTTCCGAAAATGCGTGTTCAGAAACCTTAAAAGAAAAACAAATTTCCGTTACAACAACGTGTGTTGATGAAATACAAACTCAAAGAGAAGAAGCTGATTCCAATGAAAACAGTTTACAGAACGAAAATGATGTATTTTCGGATATTCCATACTGTAGGAAAGTGACCAGTGGTGATTTATGGAAAAATGTTGATCTTGGTGTTGAAAGTGAAAACAGGGGATTGTGGAATTTTACTCAAAATTATGCATATTGTGACTCTAATATTAATTCAGAGTTTTTATGTAATCTGGATAATTCAAGGCAAGTGTCAAATTCATTTGTTGCCTCAACTGCAGAACTACATAACTTAATAGCCGTTTCTCGCTCAGAACTATCTAAAAAGAAAGAACCATCTGTTCCTGATAGGTCAACACTAGAAAGTTATTTTACATCATTTGAAAATAGTAATTCAATTTCATCAGTGCCATCAAATGATGAATCTAAACTTTCTCTTAGTTCACAGAATCATAACAGTGATATCTTCCATTCCTCATTTGACTGTGATGGAGATGAAATGACATTTGATGATGAAGAGGCAGCTTTGAGTGATACTTCTTCTGAAGAGGACCTGAGGTGTCACCCAGCTGCTACAAATACTCACTACTTACCAGCATATGCTCTTCATACAATAATTGAAGAAAGTTGTGAGGAGAGTGAGAGAGATTCAAGGACAGCAACACCTACAAACGATGCATTGACATCAAAACTAGAGCGATATTTCAGTTGGGATATAATTAATGATACAGATTCTGATTTTCGCAAAAAGGATGATGATGCTAGCACATTATACAGTGATTCTTTATCAGAAGGCTCAGGTTCTCTCAATGACGATGCTTCAAAGGAAATAGATCCTTCTCAGCTTGCCTCTTCTCGTCTAGAAAAATATTTCACATCTGGTTTGGTAGGCAATGAAAATTATTTTTATCCTGATGATGCTGAGTTTTTGGATGATGCACCAGTAAGTGATTTTGAGGAAGATAGCATACATCAGAAAATTAGTCGGTCAGCATTGCTGAGTTCTTTAGAAACAAAACCATTTTCTGAACAGCCAGTCAATGAAGGTTTTGAGGTAAGTGATTCTGTCAAAAGTGATGTATCTGTTGCCAAAGATAATGAAATTAAAGATGAAATTTCTTCTGACTTGCAAAAACAGAAAGAAATAACTGTTGTTGAAACAGAATCCAACCACAGTGATTTGAAACAGTTGTCTGTAGAGCCAATATCAGACAGTTCAGAAACTTGTAATACTAAATCAGAGTGTAGTGCTAATATAGATGCTTTAGAAACATTAAAAGAAACTACAGAAAGTGCACAACAAAACAGGTTTAATGATTTAACTAAGGAAAAACTGGAAAGTGGTATCAGGGATACTATAATAAATAGTACTTCCAGTGAAATTGAAAATCCAATCAAAATCATATCATCAGATAATGAGAATAGCAATCCCACTGATGTCTCACAGGAAAATGATGAAATTTTACCTCATGTTTCTAATAGTATGGAAAATATGTCTGTACAAAAACCAGGTGTAAATAAAGAACAGCTTGCCATAGATGCTCAGGCTATAATTAGAAAACTTTTGGCATACTTTGCTGACAGTGCCTCAGAATCATTTAAAAACAGTATGGAATTAGATTATCTATCAGCTTGGCAAATATTAGAAAGTGAAATTGAAAGATTAATGCAATCAATTTCACCAACTGAATCTTTAGAAAACAACAGTTGCAATAGCAGTACAATAGACAGCAATAATAGTGATTATGGCAGTGATACTATCGAATCAATGGACTGCATGACGGATGATGATGATAACCTGGACAGCAGAAATCGATCAAATAGTAAATGTCCTCTTGTGGATATATTAAATTCTGCTTATCGATTCCAGCCTGATTGTGAGTTAGGTAATTTTAATATATCTGATGAAACTTTGAGCATATGGAAACGTTTAATTCAGTCATTACAAAAGGATAGCCTGGACAAAAACAGCTGTGATGCAAATGCAGAAGCGCGTTTGTACATTAGAGATCATATTGTTACATTGATGCACACAGTGACAGTTACAGAAAATAATTTTCCTGGCAAAGAAAAAAATGTGGATCGCTTTAATATTAACCAGGATCAAGTTTTCACATCATCGCTAATGGAAGAAGCTGACACTTGTGACATTAATGAAGCTTTTAATGTAAATATTACTAATTCAAAGGTTTTAACTCATCTTTCTGAAAACATGCTAAGTGAAATGGCACCTGTGGTAAAAACGGAATCATCTGATGAAGGTGTGTCGTTTGACAGCAATGAAAATCTTCATGCGCCGTCAGAAATCTCTAAATGTGCATCAGAGAAACAGATATGTCCTGAAGTTACATCATCCAGTGATAGTGAATATGATGTTTGTGAAAACATCAAATCTCATAGTCATTTATCTGCCAAAATGCAAGATTCAGAGAAATCAGATAAAAGCTCTATGCCTATAACATTAGAAATGTGCAAACCTTCACATATTGTGGATGATACTGATGGCTTAGTTCTTTATAGAGAGGATAATAGTCAATTCGATGAAAGAACTGACCAAAAAAGTGGTAATGATCGTAAGTTTTCTGTGTTTGTTGATATAGAACTTGGAGATGATACTGTTTCCGTCACTGAAAGAAAATCACCAGTGGATAAATCCTCTGAAAATGAGGCTAAGGAGCCTGAAACAAAAGGTAAACGATCATCGCTGCATGTATGGTTATCAAATGAAACTCCGAAATCTGTTTCAGATTCAGCCATGGAAGAAACCAATCTTCCAGATGATGTTACAGTTTCAAATAGTATTCCTGAGTCATCTCATGAAAGTTGTAGTACCTCCTCTGTTACTGTAACAGAAACAAATGAAAGGACTAGTCATGACATGGATTTTTATCCTTATAAATCATCAGACGATATTATCCTGAATACCTGCACTCGTTCGGAAGAATTGGTAGATGTACCAAATTTTAAGTCCTTAAAAAGATCTGTGAAAAAGACACCCATTACAAATACTCTGTCTAAAAGTACAAATAATATTCTGCAAACGTTTACCTCCCCAGAAACAAAATTTAGCACGCTTCAGATTAAGCCTCAGAAATCAAAAGTTTCTATGAATCCCAGTAATTCTTCATCAAGACAGTTTACGTCTCTGTTTTCCCCATCAGCTGTTTTTAAAAGAATCACGGGAACAAAGAGTAAGTACATGATCTTTTCATGTTTGTTCTATATTTCTAGATAATATTGTTCTATATTTCTAGATAAGTATATGTATGTACATATGTATGTACGCCTTGTACAAAAAAAATCGGTTAGTTCTATATCTCCTGTTCTATTGAACCAATTGTCTAAATTTCATTTTCCATGTTTCGAAAGCATGACTTAGGATATATGTTAGATTTATATATAGCATTATTCTAACATAGGTATTTCGACACAAAATCATACTTTTCCTGAAGTAACATAACAATTTTTTTCAATATTTCGATTGTACGACTCAAATTATGCCAACGTCCCAAGTTTTGTAAAAATTGCACAAGTAGTTTTAAAAAATTAATTCTCAAAATTTTAGCTCCTACATTTTGATTGAATTTGGTATATATTTATTAATATCTCTTTTTTATTAAGCTTAGTTGATTCCTCCTCTCACATTTCCAAATTTAAGTTCATTTCAAGTAAAATTCACCCATTTTTTTTATAATTTATTTTTAAAATTTGTATTTTTAAATATTTTTTATAAATTTTTTGAAAAAACATTTGAATTATAACCTAAAAAAGTTTTACCATCATCTTAAAGTAGATGTATTTCTAAGCATACCTGAGTGTTTTATTCAAAATTTCCTAAGATATACATAAATTTACATATTGGCACATTTTGAATTTCGCATATTTGTTATAAGCGATAACAACACCAAATCTGGTTTATGCACTTTGTTAAAATTATGGAAAAGTTGACCTTTTTTTCACTTGTATGCAGTGAAAAAAAAAGAAAGCAAAGGAAAATAGGTTGCTCTAAATTAAGAAGTTCACCAATTGAATTATTCATGGTGCAAACTGAAAAAAATGTGCTAAAATAAATTTTTAAATTTCTGACCAAAAATCACAAAATTTAATATCTAGGTATAATTTGAGTCATAAATGAAATATGGAAAAAAATTGGTATATTATTGAAGAAAAAGTCTGATTTTGTGTCAAAATACCTATGTTAGAAAAATGCTTTATGTAAATTTAATATACAGTCAAAAGTCGTTAATCCGGACTCGTCGGGACTTCGGCGATTCTGGATTATAGATCATCAGTTTAAATCTGGTAAGATGGCATGCAGAAATTATAAAATTAAAAATGTGAAACCATAATTTATGAAGTAAAGAACAATTATGATCTAAAGGGTATCAAAATTTACAAAAAAAAAAAAAAAAAAAGCTTAATATTTATTTGTTTACTTTATTAAACATTTCTTTCAATGAATGTTGTTTAAGTTGCTTCGCTTTATGTGATAATACTTTCTCTTTAATTCTATAAACAGACATAATTTCTTCTTCAGTTACAAAGTTCCGCTGTTGAAGTCCTATAATTGCTGTGTCGAGAATACCGACTAATTTGTCAATCGAAATTTTTTCGTTTTCAATAACCTCTCTGTGACTTTCTTCACTATCGGAAGCAAATTATAATGACGAGGAATTTTATTTAAATTATATCAAAGACGGAGTACATCGAGATGAAATACTACATTTAGTAAGGAATTATAAGCCAAATAAAATAAAAACATCTGCCCTGAAGATAAGGATAGTGCTGACAGATCAACTTCCAGTTCATTGCGCGCCGCGAAGTCCCCCCCTTTCCCCGCAGAGCAGCGTGAAATTGATAAACAGATTTCGGAATGGTTAGAAAACAAAGGATATGCCTTTATCCATTTTTTGCAGCAATTCCACTTTTTGTTTGATGGACATCGAAACATGCTTTCGCTTTGTAGATAGATCCTTTGGCAGCTCCAGAATTGGAAATTCTATTTGACATAATCGAAAGTTCAAGCTTACTTTTATAAAATTGCTCTAACAGTCTGCAAAAAATAATAAGCTGGATCCAATTCGAAGATTAAGGAACAACGCAATCTGCAACATTAACTGAATTAGATAATTTTAGCTTAGCTTATACTGTCCGTTATATATTAAACGCGCATGCGCACATGCATATTCGCAGCCGTAAAGGTCTTACGCGCATGCGCAGAAAGTTTGTAGCTGTGAGGTCCGGATTATAGATCATTCCGGATTATGTGTGTCCGAATTAACGACTTTTGACTGTATATCGTAAGTCGCGCTTTTGAGACATAGAAAACACAAGTTAAATTTTGACAATCGGTCCTGTAGAATGGGAGATATATGTCCCATTTGTTTTTGTGTAAGGTGGATACAGAACAAAGTCTAACATCTGGAAGTCCATTATCCGGAATGGTCTAAAATCCAGACCTCAAAACCACTAATAATGTTTTTCTCGTCGGCTTTATGCATGTACATTTGATCCTCCCCTCCCTGCATAATAAAACATCTGGAGAGTCCCGATTCTTAATTTCACTTCGACACTTAATAAAATACCTTTGTTATTGAAGAAACAATCATTTTAGCATAAATTTGTATGATCAGTAATTTGGCTCCGTTGCTGCGTATCTGCTTGGCACACATCTCAAACTCAAACATTCCACATAGATACATTGTTGATCTGACGCCAAACTGGCAAATCATTATTTATTATACTTTCCTTTCATCACCACATGTTTATCAACATATGACAACTTGAGTAATGACTCGTAGCTATACCTAAGCAATTTTTTTTTATGTTAGTAATTGAATAACAAAGGAGTATGGTAACCTATTATGTTGACATGATGCTTGGCGATGATTACAGATTTAAGTTAAATGCACTAAAATGAGTTGACAAAAAAAAATTAACAAACATTTCTTTCCATATGCTAAAAATAGATTTTGTTGGTGATACTCATAGACACAAAGATTACATTTAGGGCTAGTTGAATTAAAAATAACTGATTTGTTATTCACATGAACCCAGAACCAGTGCTAGAGCTCATAAGGCAGTACGCAGAATTTAGGACCCTCAGAGACTGCATCAGGCAGTAAGATATCTAGCCCCGGCCCTCTATAATATACAGGGACGTAGCTAGAGGGGTCAAGAGGGGGCATCTGTCCTCGGGCGCAGAATCCAAGGGGCGCCAAACTGATGTTACGACATTTTTAGAATTAAATGTTTTCCATCCTTTGCAAGCAGTAAGGGGCGTGAAATCTTCAATTGTCCCTGGGCACTGAAAACCCTAGTTACGACTCTGATAATATATACTTAAGCCTCAATAAGCCTTAAGTATATGTGGTAGTTTATTTATTCAGAACTGTCATTAAGCATGTGCAAGAAATAGACATAAGTATAATAAATAACTAAACTAATACAATTCAAGCTTTATTGTCTCAGTGCACGATAGAAGCAAGATAAAATTTAACAGAACAACTTGTTAGTCGCCAAACTCATGACGCATAGCCAAATATGTATAGTGAACAAAACCTGAATTTGATGATGAAAACCACGAATTTTAAAGGTTTTCTGATATCGCAAAACAAAGGTGAAATTTTACAATTAATGGATTTTGTAAAGAAATGTGGAGAAGCAGTAAAAAAATGAAGATGATATAAGAAGTTTGTGGTGAAAATGCTTTTCAATAATCAATCAATTAATGAATGGCAAAATCTGTTGTATGGTTCTAGATCCAGAAAATACCACTACCGATAGTGAAGAAAAGGACAGAGAAGTTACTGAAAATGAAAAAATTTTGATTGACAAGTTAGTCGGAATTTTCGACGCAGCAGTTATACCCTTTAGATCATAAATACTTCATTATTTCATAAATCATAATTTCATATTTTTAATTTTATAAGTTTACATGCCATCTTACTAGATTTAAACTAATGATCTAATATCCGGAATCGCCAAAGTCTGGATTTCAGACTTTGTACTGTATATAGTAGAACCCTATTAACAACTTGCATATATTATAGTTGTACATATTAATACTGTTTCAGATTATTGCTGAATTTATTTTTGATAAAGGAGTAAGAAATGTGTAAAAACAAATCTAAAATTTATAAATGAAAACATTACTTTTAAACTTTCTTTTATGATTTTCCTGTAAGAATTATAGCGTCTTTCCATTGTTCTTCATTGAGCACATCAAGGCTATTACATGGGTCTCTCTTTAAGCTTTTTGAAAATAAGGCATATAAGATTTTAAAATGTTTCTGATGACATGGCATTGTCTCACTTTAGAAACTGATACTGCTTTTCCTTTTCATGACATTGTCTCACTTTCTGCACTTTCTCCAAAGCAAATTAAAGAAACTGAAAATGTTTTGCTTTAATTTGCTTTAGGGAAAGTGCAAAATCATCCACTGCTTCGCAGGTTTCGCAAAATCGCCAACTGGAAAATAACAAGTCAAAGAATTGCACAGACTCAGTATCCATGTACACATCAACCGATTTTCACATTAAAAAAAAAAAAAAAAAAAAAAAAAAAAAAAAAAAAAAAAAATCAGAGAATTGTACAAACTTGGCATTGCACACTCTCTTGACTTTGTCCATGTACACATCTATATGTGGCATATAAGTGAGGGATTCTGCATCAACTTGAAATAACATGTCAAAAAATTGCAATCCATGTACACATCGATCTATTAAAAAACATCAGAGGATTGCAGAAACTTGGCATTGTGCATTCCCTTGACTTAGTCCATGTACACATCAATATGTGCCATATAAGTGGGCAGTTCTGCACTATACCCTTTGCTTCTACTGTATCAGGATGAAACATGAAATTACATGAAACTTTGCATCTTATCTTATCCCCTTTTGTCCTACTGTTGGCAGTCAGAGAGCTAGGTTCATCCTCTACCATGGGAGACTCACATTTTCAGAGTTAATTTCCAAATCCATAATTTTACCTAGAGATACAATATCATAAATAACAAACACACACACAAAAAAAAAAAAAAAAAAAAAAAAAAACACAAAAAAAAAAACTTTTGTAAAGCCATGTAAATGTGTACCTGCAATACAATTTGGCCATGATTTCCTCTCATCTGAATTTATGGTGCTATAAGCCACTTGCTGTCAAAGTTTGTTAATGAGTGTTAAGAAACAA